GAGGGCCAGTGACACTGCCCTCCACAGCTAAGATGCTGAACAACAGCTCAACCTGGAGCTGGGCTGCCGTGAGTCGCCGGCAACGGCTTAGGCTGTAGCCCCTGCTGCAGTGGGTTGCCATGGGCTACCGTATGTAGCCAGCAGCCAGCGTGAGCGTCCAGCAGCCGCAGTGAGCGGCCATCCAGAAGCTGGCGACTGATCTGCCTCGCCGGGGAAGAGCGCAATGATGGTGCCAACTTGGGCCAGTGAAGCAACGTCCTCCACAACTAGCCTGAAGAACAAAACGACAGCAACTTTTCTGTTCCCCTTCCCCCAATTCCCCAGCGCTGTTCTCATCCCCACAATTCCCCAATAAAAATCTTTTTAAAAAGTATATCACTCGTCTTGCACATTATCACTAACAGACCGAAAGAGCTGTGTGAGATCGATGGCCACTTACGGAAGGCGCAGTGGGTACCAGGTCATTTTCTGTTCTTCCTGTCTGCATTGCCGTGTGAACCCGGACGGATTCATAAATGGAAGGTTCTTCCACTTCTCTTGGATAAGGATGTTTCAGAACAATCAGAGTGCCTGAATGAAGGAAACAGAAAACAAACCGTCTTCAAATAGTTTCCCCAGGAAGAAAGTCCAAATGCTAACAACTGCATTGTAACCTCTTGTTTCTTTTCACGTATTCACTTATTTTCTCAATATTTATTGAGTACCAACTATGTGCCAGGCACTTAAGCTGGACGCTGGAGAAAGAAAGCGTGATTAGATGATTTCTGGCCTCCTCGTGCTCAGACAGAGCTGTCAATGGATAGCATGTAACTGATAGTCGTTTAACGGAACGGAGTAAGACACCAACGTCAGCGATGTGAACAAAGCACGCTGGTGGTGTCTGGAGGCCCAGAATAACCCTCCTGGGGAACGCTTCAGAAAAGCTTTCGTAGAGGTGACACTGATTTAGACCTTAAACAATAACTGGAAGTGTTCCAGGAAGCCTTTACAAAAGGCGTGAAAACAAAACCCAGCAGATGCATGGGGTATAGGAGGATTTATACCATTGCCCTTATTTCCTATTGGTCTCAGAAAACCATGTGACAAATCAGTGGATCTCAAAAAAGTGGACTCACAGTGTTCTCCCTACTGTCGCCTACCACTCAATTAACGAAATAAACTAAATGAAGCCTTTGCTTATCTTAAGTGAACATGATGTGAACAGGCTGTGCTCATGCATAATTGCCTTTACTTCCATCTGCGGGGGGCAGTCCAGGCTGGGAAATGGGCTCCGCCCAGGGGCCAGGCTTTGGGGGTTTCGGCACATCATTTGGGCTGAGAGCAGGTCTGACTCAACACTTCTGACGTTTTCCCCTTCGGATCCTGCCCTCCTCCCAATCAATCAGTCAATCAGAAACTAGAAACTTTGACTACAGAAAAAGTTAAGTTAAGGGTTTTTTTCCCCTTGCTGTGGTTGCTTGCTTTATTTCACTAGGGTCTTTTATACGGCAGGCGTGGGATTGTACTAGACACTGGGGGAGATGTAAAGAATTCAATAACTCATTCAACAAATATTGACCGAGCGTTACTAAGTTCCAGGCACTGTCTAGGCACTGGGGATACAACAGCAAACAAAGGAGATACAGCATCTGCTCCCGTGGCAGGGGAGACAGAAACAAATTTGAAAAAAAAAAAATGTCAGGTGAGAGAAGTGTTTTGATCAAATAGAGCAAGGTAAAGGAATAGAGAGCAAGCGAAAAGGGTGGAGGTGGGTGAGACAGATATCTATAGATCAGCAAGACTTCTTTGAAGAGGTAATTTGAAACATTATAGAAAGTATGGACCTTGGATTGGAGTAAGAGAATGATAAAGAGGAAAGAAAAATACCTCCTCTGCAATGATAAACCCCTTAATAGTAACGATGAAACTACAAACAAAACAAAACCTTTCTGCTGTGTGTGATACACACAACATACTGACACAAACACAACGGTGGCTTCTGATCCCTGGGCCCAGGTAATGCACTGCTGTAAAATGAAAAGGAGCACTGTGAAAAGCCAAAAGATGGCCTCTGAACTTGGCTCCAGAAAGGAATGCGAGACTCTGGTCGCCTCTTCTTTCTGCATCCAGCTCATGTCAGTAGCTTTGGGATCTCAATGAAAAAGCGCTGTAGCAGTTATCAGAAGCCCCAGTCCCCTTTTGTACATTGTCAGCACGCTCTTTTGTCAATGCGATCCTTTCATGAGAACAGATCTAGTCATATCAGGACAAGAGGCCGGTGACAGTTTTACAGTCATAATGAAAGCAGCGACACCTAAATCCAGAGCAGCCGTTGTGCAGGCTCAGGGCTGTGTGAACACAGTCATACTATGGCTGGTGCTTGCTGAATTTGGGGCTGGTGCTTTAAGTGACCCACCCCAGAGAAACACCTCCAGTGGTGTGGCTGGCATCACCCTGGCGTCATGGAAACAGCCAACACTGCCACTCAGTACCTGTTGATCTTGGACAATCATTATAGTTTTTGATTCCTCCTCTGACAAGTAAGAATAAATTACCTCTTATTCATAAGGCTTTTTTAAGCACCAATAAAGAAGTGTTTGTGAAAGGATTATAAAAACGTTAGATTGTTATTATGCTTTGATATAGAGTATTTTTAAATCCTAAATAAAAGTCCAATTGTCACATATTTAGGAAGATGAATTTTAAAATGTTCAGTTAAAAAGACCAATGTGTAACATTCTGCTAAGAATAAGAGTGGGAGTGGTCTAGTAGTCACCCGCTACAGTGCTCAGACATGTCAATGCCTCTGGGACACTTCTGTTGGACCGTGAAGGAGAGGGGGCCAGGGATCAGTGCGTTCGCAAATTAAAAAGAATGTGAAATCTCGTGCCTTATCTTCAAAGTTGATGCCAAGGTTTCATCCTATTCCATATGCTTAGTACAAAAATGATTTTTAAAAGATGCTCTAGTAAGCTGCAATGACTCGATCTTCTTTTTGCGTATAACCAGGCATACTCCTAAGCATGCGCCTACCTGTGCTAGTTTCTTATTGCTGCTGTGACAAATCGCCACAAATGTAATGACTTAAACAATTCAAATTTATTATCTTATAGTTCTGGAGATTGAACAAGAATCTGGGTTAGTGATATTCAGACCAAATTAACTGCAGGGCTTGGTTGGACCATTCAGATAAAAAAGCAACACAGGAGGCAGGGCTGGTAGAGGGAGAAGAGAGAGGAAGATTAGCAGCGACAGGTCTTGGAAACATGGCTACAATTTTATTTTAGTTTCTGAACTACATAAAGGAGACTATTGTTTCCTGCCTTTGACTGAAAGTGGTTTCAGAAATGCTTGTTGGAGGTACCGTTTTGAGGTGATTGGAACAGAGCCAAAGCAGACATTTCAATTTGCTTTGACCAAACTGTCACTTACAGGACACTTACTCTGTATGTAATACTGTGAGATTGCACTGAAGGACTCATCTTGTATTCCAGCAGGGAGAGTAAGAGCAGTCTCAAGCCCCAGGCACTGGTTTCATAACTGAAATAAAGTGTAGTGAAAGAGCACACACTGCTCCTGAAAGGGAAACTTGTTTTGAATGTTCTTTTATGAACTAAATCTAGTGCTTACCCATCAGGTTCCCCTGCTGGACTAAGATGTTTGAGGATGAAGATGGTATCTGATTCATCACTATATTGTCAGTGGTTAATCGTGCCTAGCTCATAGTTGGCACTCAATATCTATTTGATGAATTAAATTAAAATAAGACCATATCCATGTTTCATTATTGCCTACAGGCTCAGAAAGCAAGGTTTGCAACTGGTGGGTTCCTCTGTCTCTTCCTGCCAATGGGAAGTAGCTTTCTAGGGGGCAGTTTATAGAAATATTCAAGATTTTTCTCCTTTCTTTTTTGCAACCTGCTCTGCAAATGGACTTTAACCCGACATATTAAATAAAATGATGGTGGTTAAACCACATTCATTTACATATGAAGGGGCTTTTCCAGTCTCACAGAGAAAAATATACTGAGGTAGGAAAAACAGATAACCAGGGAAAGAGAAATTAAATAATATTCTGTTAAAGTATCCAAGTCAAGTCAGGTCACTCTTTTTGGAGTAGTCAAAGGTTGATTCTACCTTTCATATGAATCCACTGTACAACTGGCTTAAACTTTGATGAAGTCATCAAAAACACTTGATAAATACAAATTCAGTTGTCCCTAAACTATGATATAATAAAGAATGTACAGTTCTTATGTATAATATGATGGAATGAATTATCATAAAAGGGCTTCATTTAATAAGAATAATGATTATGCCATATTAAGAATCATTCTAAATGGCTTCCATGCCTAATCTCATTCAATTTTCACAGCAAGTCATGAACTTTTAAGGTATGAACCATTATATCATCAGCTCAATTTTTTAACATTATGAAACCGAAGCTCAGAGAGATTACATTACTTGCTGGAGGACACACACGCTGGTGAATGGCAGAGACTGGAGTTGAGCTTGGAATTTGTGTTTACTCATTATAGCATACATTGCTCTCAGCCTTGGTGTGGTCACCTCCAAGGAAACTCTGTATGGCATGTAAAATGTACTCTATCTATTGTGGACAAGAAAGCATATGCATAAATCAAAATTTAAAAAAATGAATTCTTTAGGAGACAACTTCAGGAAACAAGATGTGAGTTTTTGCCTCAATATTTCTCAGTTTCTTCATTTGTAAGAAGAAATTAAATAGCCTGAGATCTCTGCCTACTCTAACATTCATAAATCCAGTTAAACACAGAGGCCCAATTGAGAGGCAAGAAACCTTAAATTTTATTTTACTTTCTCATATTTACATAGGCTGTTTTATATCCTTTTGGGGAGAAGCATGAATGAGATGGGCCAAAGTATTTGGGGGATGTTTTCTTTTTATGTTTTAAGATTTCCTCTAGTATAATTTTTCAAATGGCAATTTATGTAAATAAAATAAGAACAGCAATAAACACAAAGACAGAAGTTCAAATTGATTCATATTCTTTAAAGCAACAGTTTTACATCACATACCAAAATATTATTGTAGACCTTAGAGACAGAGGGATAGAACTAAAACATGTATTGTAGCCCTGCTGTATCCTACAAACACTATTATATCTCTGTGGCAGAGATTCTTCTCATGCAAATCCATTTAAGGCCATGCTGTGCTGTGGCCATATTACACTACAGTGTCTGTCACCATGAGACCAGTTTGAGGAGCCAGCAAAGTGAGTGGAGAGCACCTATGCATTAGAGCTAAGTTGGCCTGGATTCCAGCATCAGCTCTGATGCTTACTAGCTGTGCAACCTTGGGCAAATAACTAAAAATCTCTGAGTTTTGATTTCCCCATCTGGAAATGGGACCACTTTACATATTATTGTGGGTGATTCAGAAAATTAAATAATTTGATATATGTTAAAACATCTAATAAAATGCCCAGAACTTAGTAAACACTCCACACATGCTCCTCCTTGCCTGCTTTTTGCTTTTTCAAACACACCTCATTACAAACTAAGAAAATATATTCTTTTGGCGAACATAAAGAAGTGTAGTCCAGGGCCGGCCGAGTGGCGCATTGGTTAAGAGCTGGCTTGGAACGCCAGAGAGCCCGGTTTGGATCCCACATATGAGGGCCAGTGACACTGCCCTCTACAGCTAAGATGCTGAACAACAGATCAACTTGGAGCTGGGCTGCGTGAGTCACCGGTGACGGTGTAGACTGCAGTCCCTGTGGCAGTGGGTTGCCATGGGCTACCGTGTGTAGCCAGCAGCCAGCGAGTGATAAAGTCCAGAAGCCGGTAACTGATCTGCCTCACCCGGGAAGAGCGCAATGATGGTGCCAACTTGGGCCAGTGAAGCAACGTCCTCCACAACTAGACTGAAGAACAAAAGGACAGCAACTTGTCTGTTCCCCTTCCCACAATTCCCGAATAAAAAAATAAAATAAAAATCTTTAAAAAAAAAAAGGAAGTGTAGTCCTGGTCATGGCTTGGCAAAACTCCAAGTTGCCACCAATTATTTTCAGAAATGTCACACAAATCTCAACCTAAAATTAGTTTTAACTTAATTATTTTAACATACTACCTGGGTAAAATGTCTGATGTCACAAAATAAAATAATAATAACCGTAGCGGTTATCAAGAGGTTGGGAATCCCCACATTAAAACAAAAAGAGAAGTGGAAATTTGACATTTTAGAAAGAACCAGATAGGATCTTCAAAACTGAGAACCAATTATTATAAAGGGTAAGCACAAACACAGCACTTGAATTATAATTTTTCGTGCTGGTTAGCCAATTAAATTGACAACATAGTAATTCCTATAATAAATCACATGTGACAGTTTCATACACCTAAGTATTGCAATAAAAACAAAAGATAAAGGGAAAGGTAAATTTTGTTCTAATACTAGTTGGTCATTTAAGCATAAAGTAAATGCTGTTTATATTTTTAAGAGTATATATATGAAACTTAACTAATTACAAGAGAATACAGTAAAAATTAACAATGAACTAAACATATTCATGCTAATGACAGTATCAGGTTTCCAAGTCTATGTGGGTTGAATTAAAAAGCCATGTACAATTATGAAGAGACTTTTTCTATGATATCTTACTATTACAAATTAAAGGCAAATTAATGGTCAGAAATTTGCTGGTTGTGGGGTTGCCATGCCAGCTCCAATGCAGGCATTGGTAATGGGATACCCAACATCAAAGGTTGTGGATAATTATTAGCAGCTATTCTTTTAGGTGCTGGGATGTAATGGAACAAACTGACAAAAATCCCTCTTCTCAAAGAGTTTAGATACTAGTGCAAAGATTTTTTTTTAAGTGAATTACACAATATGTTAGAAGATCAAAGGGCCATTGAGAAAAGTAAAACAAGACAGTACATTGTAGATCTCTATAATGTACTTGGGAAATAATTGGGTTCTAAGAATTATAAACATCTTAAGAGTATTTATGGGTATTAATAAGAATTTACAGCGAACAGAAACTTTAATGGAGATCAGAGAGATTAAATGAAGATTATAGCAAGAATAAGGAGGAAATTATAATAACAGAATCTTAAGGTTGTCAGAGGGTTAGATCTTCTTCAGTAAATGTTCATTCTTCAGGTTAAGAAACAGAAATCCTGAGAGTTAAATAGACAATAAGAACAAAATAGGAAAACAGATATCTTAGAATAGTATATATCCTTTTAGGTTAACAGTTTTACCTATTCTGAGAGCAAATATTTTCTTATCACCCAGAACCAAGTGTTCTGGAATTCACTCTACTGAAGACATTATATATAATTGTAAAGCAAAAGTGTAAGGTTGTTGGTTATTTGGAGATCTTCTCCGTTGCCCCCAGAGGTAATGCGATCCCTGCCAGTGGATGAGTGTGAGAAAGTTTCTTTCAAGTAAACACCCCCATCAGGTCCTGCAGGGCGAGGCTGGCCTGAGTGGGGCCAGGGCTGACAGAGGAGGCCTGAAATACCCAATTCTAGTTCTTCTCCTTCTGGGGACCTAAAGGTGAGAACCCTGGCAAGACTTCATTCTTGTGCAGGCAAGTGCTTTCCCTGGTGATCTTTACTTATAACAATAACTTTAAGAAGAATTGGCACTTTACTTCATGGTACACAAGGAATCATCAGCTTGGTCATGGGGAGCCAACACCAGGAGCCAGTTCTTAAAGGAACAAGAGACCTATTTTTAGAAGGTGGCATCCCAATTTCCATTCACTGTTTTTCATAGATCACAGTGCTGACTCTGACTCCTTGAGGACAGCTTAAGAGTCCTCATGACTTCAGCTCATTATCTTGTTTCCTGTGGCCAATTACTGCCAGAGGGGCAAAATGAGAACACTCCTCTGTCATGGGTTTTGCCCCTTGTTTCCAGGCTCAGTGGCTTTGCCTTCATCTGGATGGAACAGATAAGAGGGATATTTCATAGAGTTAGTAGAATCTAACTCAAGGGTTGGAAGCCAGTAAGTCAAGTGCATATCTATCAGCACCATGCCCCTGTAGCAGGGGTTCAAATAGCAGTAAATTCCCTGTTGGATAATGAGTAGAATAAGGAGATGCAGGAGAGAGGATACAAATCTTAAGTTTCCTGAGTTTTATTGCAACAAATAAAATAATTATAGTAATGATAATGATATAGCAAGCTATAGCTTTGGACAGAACTACTATAGGAGACAGGATTAAAAACCCTTACAATCCCTAATGAATTAATCTTAAATCTTCTTTAGTTAGATTAATCTATTTACAGGGAATCTTAACATGTCACAAATTTAATGTCAAGGAGGCTTTACTTTGGAGGGATCCTCTTGCCTGATTATTGGATCGGTGCCTGAAAGGTTCAAGCAAAAAGCACTGCCTTCATGTTGATCTTAAAATGTTTTGAAACCTATTGGTAGGCAGAATGTGCACATTTTCCCTAACTTCAAGAAAGTTCAGGAAAGAGCCCAGAGAATGATCAAAGTGGTTAAAAATAGGGTCTAGGAAGAGAGTTTAAAAGAAGGGCGCTGACTTTGGTTGGAGAAAGAACAGGCTGGAAGATAACAATTATAATGGCTCTGAAGGCTATAAGGAGTTCCTATTCATAGTCATCCATTCATTCATTCACCCAAAGCGCCATCCACAGTACCAGGACCAGGGGGACATGAAAAAGGACAAAAATAGAGGCAGACAAAACAAAGTCCTTGGCTTCAAAAATCTCTTCTCCATTGCCAGTGACCAAGAATTGAACAAAATTGGGTGTAAGGTTGGACACAGGTAGGAAATAAGTCTGAAGTGAAGGGATTTAAGAAATTGAAATGCTTACCAAAGTCAAAGTAACAATAAAAATAAATACATCCCTACCTGCCGTTAGTTTATGGGAAGTACTGCTGGTTAAATAATGAAGTAATTTTCAGGGCGGATTGGAAGAATTTCCACCAGAAAAAAAAAATAGATATATATATATAGTTCCAATTTTATAGTTTGGAATATTCTATTATAGAACTTGTGTGATCAGTATAAAATAAGGCAAATATTCTGTGGTTTTCACTGTAATTTTTATCTATACTCAACACTGTATGATTCATATCAGGGTCTATCCAGGCCACAAAAATAGCTAAAAAGGAAAAGCCAATGGTGGCATCTCTTCTTACCACACTGAATTTAACAAAAAGCCCCTCGACCATGTTTACCAAGAAAACGAGTATATACAAATTCTTAGTAACCAGCTGTGTTATTAAGTTTTGAGTTCCTCTTGTGCCACAGGTTCTTTTTTTTAATGTGAATTTTCTGGTTTGACTGTTACCACTCAAACAGGAAAATTCAAATTTTTTCCAGCCATATTTAAGTCCAGTTTAAAAACTTACAAGAAACCAAGATAAGAGAAACAGATTTTTATGATGAAATGAAGGCATTGGTTAGGAGAGCAATTGTTAGTCAATATTTTCAATATTCAGTGATCTTTGTAGAAATTTAAGTATGAATTTTATTTTTAAAAATGCTCAAAATTATATTTTATGGGTCTCCAAGATATGCAAACTACCCATATCTAAAATTATGAAGAATCAAAAAGTTATTCTTACCTTTGTTATTTCTTTGTTCATTGTATATATTATTATAAAGTGAATGGATTATTTTAAAGAAATTGTGAGCTTTTAATCAATCCTTTAAATAACATTCTGAAAAAATTATCTATTTTGTGCAAAGTACATTTTCTTCTAAAGATATTACTAAAGTACTGAAATACATATGAATATAATTATTAATGTAGTAAATGGCACAGTAATTGGAAAAAATGTTTCAAAACATCCAATTGCATGTCATAGACACACAATTCAATAGAAGTGACAAATATTTAATTGAAATCCACCTTGTCCCTCCTCCATTCTGAAACAATGTTTCATAGGTCAAGTTCATAATTTACCTGTCTCGCTTCCTATCAAAGGTTCGTTTGCAAAATGCTTGACAAAATCCTTCAAAGATGAGAATTCATTAAAGCCAAATTTAAATGAATATCCGGTATATTCAACATGAAAGTGTTTGACAGAGTCTTTGGCTCTGAAAGAGAAGAAGAAATGTTTAATGTTTTTTAACAAATGAATATCCTTTTTGAAGGGATATACTAACCGTAGGCATGAGTATCACCATTAAACCCTCCTAACAACTGAGAATTATGATACAATCATTGACACCATTGGCATTAAAAAAATAGTTTAAATTAGTTTCAGATGTACAAAGCAACATAATAGCTAGACATTTACACCCCTTACAAAGCCCCCCTCCCCCAAGCTACTACCCCTTTGACATCTTATATAGGTGTTACAATACCATTGACTATCTTCCTTATGCTATATTCCACCTCCCATGACCATATATATATATATAGTTGACATACAATACAGAAAAAAACTGTCGGTTGCTAGGTGGAAGTGGGGAGGGGATGGGGCAGAAGGTGAAGGGATGGGGCAGAAGGTGAAGGGATTAGAAAGAGCAAACAAGTAGACACAATATAGGCACGGGGATATGAAATACAGTCTGGGGAATGTAATCAACAATGTTGTAAAGATTATGTAGGGTGCCACACAGGCACTGGACTTATCAAGAGGATCACTTCATAGACTGTGTAGATGCCTGACCAATGTGCTGTACACCTGAAGCTGAAGTAGAAACCATTGGCATTTTTAAAGCACAGTTTCCTTTGACAGTGTGCTGTTCCCATTTTTTCACTCTAATGGAAAACAAGAGACAATCTTTCCTGTGTATTCTCTGGCTTACTGAAAGAGTCCTTGTACATTAATCCCCTTGAGGGGCATAAGTTTAAAAAGAGCAGGGAAGAGAGTTGATAGAAATGGCATGTCACACCTTCCCCAAATTCTCTCTGTCCTTGGCCCTTACTTGTTTGGGAGTCAGCCTGAATTCTGCATCTGTCACCTAATTAGTGATGTGAGAGCAACCCTTTTCCTCCCAGGCCTGTTCCACTGCCTACTAACTCAAATATCAAATTTCCTACATTGTCATTTCCCACCTCACTTTTGGAATGAGGAAGAGTATTAAATAGATTATAAATTATATATAGCATATATACTTTGACTCTGGCTACTCTTCTCCTCTCTGTGCAAGGCATGCTCCAATTTTCACATGCATCAGCAATCAGAATCACCTGGAAGCTTTGTTAAAACCCAGATTTCAGCGCTCCCACCCCCACTGACCTACCCACCAAATTTCTGATTCAGTAGTTCTGGGGTGGGGCCTGAGAATTTACAGTCCTACCATGTTCTCAGGCAATGCTACTGGTCTGGGGACCACACCTTGCTAACTGCTGCTCTAGTCCAGCTGGACCTACAGTTCTCCTAGGAGTTTCCACTTTGTCCCCTAGTTCATACAGTTCCCTTCACCTGCAAATTCTCCCCCTTTCTTTTTGATCAAGTGCCTGTTCAAATGCCGCCTACTCTGTCAAATATTGCAAGATTCATTCAGCTTGACTTACTTGCTTTTTTTCTTCTCAACAACCTGAGCACTTACTTGTATCTTGCTTCCTTTTGTGTCATTCACTGCACTCTACTTTGTAGTGAGGTATTTTAAAATGGTCTTATTGCCCATGTGAGGCTACACTTCCTGAGCACAGGGTCTTTGAATCTTCTATAACACTTGTCAGAGTGATTGGCACAGAGTAGATGCTCTTGATTATTTATTATTAAGGAGTGACTAACTGAATGAATGAATACTAACAGTCATTCTACTGAGCTGGTCTGTGGTTCCTCTTACCTCTGCTGGCGAGGTTTTCTGTTTTGTTTTCTTTTGTTTTTTAGCATTTCCAAATGCTTGTGATGGAAGTTAATAATTTATATTTAAAATTTTATATAAATGTATAATATATGCCATCTATTTGTAAGGAGCTTATGATCCAATTCTTCAGATAAGACATATATAGGTGAAAGGTTAATATTCTTTGATCCCATAATTCCACAGGTTTGTTTGAGATTTTGGGGAGATCCATGCAATAAGGATCTGCAGCCTAACCACTTGATGAACTTTTAACATTTGCTGTTGATCAGAAAAAACACAATTCCTCCTAAACAGAATTCAGTTTTTGATTAAATTTTCTCAAAAGTGTTATTTGGAAAATTTGTAAAGAAACTATAGCAGAGTAACATAAAAATGTTAATGAATGTTTTGGGTTTATTTTCCTGTGACTTTCATATTTACCCCACCACCTTCCACTTATTTCTCTCATTTCCCTTAAAGTAGCCTCTAGACTTCCAGTGATCTAGGAATGAAAGGTGTGGCAGACAGCATTCTAATATGGCTTCAAGGTTCTCAGCCCCTGGAGTACAAACACCTTTCCCCAATTATTCAATAAAATGTTAATGTAATTGTGGCTGGAAGGGATTTTGCCAATAATTAAGGCCCCAAATCAGTTGACTTTAAAATATGGAGCTTGTCTGAGTGGGCCTGACCTAATCACGTGAGAGTTTTGGTAAAAGCAGCAAGTTTTCTGTGGCTGGTCACAGAAAAGGAGGTCAGAGAGACATGCTCTCGCTGGCCTAGGAAGAAGCAAACATCCATGTGAACTGCCTGTGGGGCCACTTGGCAAGGAACTGCGGATGGCCTCTAGGAGCTGAGAGTGGTCCCTGGCTCATAGCTATATGGGAGATGGGGAGCTCAGTCCAACAGCAGCAAGAAAATGAATGAAAAGGAATAAAGAGGACAAGAGAGAATGAAGGGGTAGGACTCTGAGCCCCAAGTAAGCCACAGCCTTGGCCAACGTCTTTCTTTCATCTTGGTAGAAGCCTGAGCACAGAATCCAACCAAATCATGCCTATAGTTTTTTTGTTTGTTTGTTTTGTTTTTTTATGCCTATACTTTTGATATACAGAAACTGTGAGATAATCAATTTTTGTTGTTTTAAGCCATTAAGTTTTGGGGTAATTTGTTATGTAACAGAAAATATGGAATGCCTCAAGTCCAAAGAGAAGATAAGAAACTATGTTAATTCTTGGCTTTTGAGCTCATAGAAGCCTGCCATTAATTAAAAACAAAAACAAAAAAAATGTTGCGGAGCTGGATAGAAAGGATAGAAAAGAAGTTTCAGACAGAAAGGAGTTGCTGAGTTAGTGACAAGGAGACCAGGACCATGTGGAGCAGGAAATAAAAGAGAAAACCTTCTTGTTCCCAGTTAACGTGAGGGACTGCAGCATGAAGGGAACATGTGACTTTCTTTCAAGGGCATATGGAGGCACCATCAGAGCAGTGATAAAATAGTAACAGTTTGATGTTAAAGGGGTGGGTGGCCTGCCGCAATTTCATGGAGTCCTCACATCCCCAGACGAAGGCAGGGGCAACTAATTGCCCATGAACCCACAAAGACTTGCTACATGCCAGCAGAAGCCAAGGTGACAGGTGCTGACAGAACCAATGACACCTTCTGATTATCTCATGGGTATTTCAACTTCTCTGAGAGGGGAGCCAGCCAGAAAGAAGGGGTGAGGAGACAGACCCTGGAACGACTGGACAAGCACTCTTTTTGGCTGGGTATCCCTGGTAAGGACTACATTAATTCAGGGAAGGTGGAAACTTGAGAAAGGAGGTCAGTCCATTTATACAAAAAAAAAATTAAGTTACATTATTGCCTGCTTGAGTCTGATTATGAAAGTGATGATGAAAACCACTCTGATTTTCCAGAGGAAGTAAGGAATATTCAAAGGGCACTGGGCGAGCATTCAGCGACCTGGAGTCTGGTGCTGTTTCTGTCGCTGATGTATTGAGTGCCAGACACGTTACCACTTCAGGTTTCAGTTCCTTCATCAGTCAAGCCAGAAGTTTGGATTAAACAATTCATAAAGACTCCTTTAGTTCTAACATTTCCCACCCTCCACCCCCCTCGCCAATGGAAGAAGCGAGAATGTTTTTTACAGTCTCACCCCTCAGAGCTTGGAATCCTTGGATCTGCTGGTCTAACAGGAATCAAGAGGAAGTTGTTATATGGCAATTTGGGTGTGATGATAAAGTTCATGGCCATGTAAGTGAGAGATGGAACCATATTGAATGCACAGTCTTTAAGCATCCTACCTCACGGAGAGAGAGTACAGCCCAGTCCTTTCATTGCTGTCCCGCAGAAGGTAGCTGCCATCACATCCATTTGAGAGGAGAAGAGCCTCCGCTGCATGCCGAGAGAGGTTGCCATGATACCACCTAGGAAGGAGAGAACAGTGCCGTCACTCAGGGCCAACCTCAGGGTGACTCTTCCCTCACTGGCATTTCCTCTCAAAGATTACCTCAGCAACATTCCCCACATAAGTAGCACAGACACCAAGCTCTCAGCCAGGACATCAGGACAAGGAAATCGCGGGGCGAGGCTGAAAATTCATATGTTGAAACCCTAACCCTCGGTACCTCAGAATGTGATGTTATTTGGAAATAGGGTCTTCAGCAAGTTATAATGAGGTCATTAGTGTGGGCCTGAATCTAATACGATTGTGTCGTCTTGTAAAAAGAGGACCTTTTGGAGACAGACTTGCAAACAGGGAGAACGCCATGTAACTGTGGTGATGACCACCTACAAGTCAAGGAGGGAAGGCTGAAACATATCCTTTCCTCACAACCCTCAGCAGGAACAAACCCTACTGACACCTTGATTTTGGGCTTCTGTCCTCCACAACTGTGAGACAATAAATTTCTTCTGTTTAAGCCACCCATTTTGTAGTACTTTGTACTACGATTGTAGTCATGGTAACCCTAGCAAACAAACATACAAAATTTCTTTGTAAACAGGAAAGAAATTTAAAGTCCAAGTCAAATATAACCATAAGAATAGGCTTTCACCAATTATTCTCTTTCCTTTCTTTCTCTCTCAGTTTCTTTTGCAAGTGTGGTACCATCTTTTGCAGTGTAGAAAACCACTCAGCTATTATACTAGAGTCCATTGCCATGAGTGAAATGAAGTTGAGTGCAAGGATTCAGGTGTTTTATACGGAGATACAAGCTCCATAAAATATCCTTTCAAACTGACAAATATCTGAAGAGCTGGGGCAAGTCCCAAGAAGATTCAAATTGACATATGGGTTTAAAAAAGTTTGTTTTAGAAAAGGTAACGTACATCCATGATAGGAGAAAAAAAAATCCAAATACCTTTTAAAAGAAGACATAATGAAAATAAAGCTTTTTTTTTTCACCTTTAATCCTCAGTCCCCCTGTTTCTTTCCCCAGAGGATACCAGCGTTAACCATTTTCCTGTATTGCCTCCTAGGAGATATCATATATATCTAGGGGCATTCAGATATGACCCGCTTCTAATGCGATGGAAATAAGAGCATTCTAGGCACACCATTCTGCACCTTTTTCTTATCCCCTAATGACAGATCTTTCATGTTCTTTTTATTTTTTTATTTTTTTATTTTTCTTTCATGTTCTTTTTAATGACTTGGTGGAGGCAGTTCAATGTGTTGATTAGGATTGTGACCAATGGAGTAGGTTTGCCTCAGTCCCTCTCTAGCCGGGTGAAACTGCTTGCTAGTTACATAACCAACCTGAGCCTCAGTTTTCTCACGTCTAAAATAGGATTAATAATAGTCATACCTCATGGGTCAATTGTGAGTACTGATCATATTGACACACATGAAATGGTCAAAACAGGTATGCAAACAGCAAACCTTAGTACACATCAGTTGTTTGCATGAAGCCATTGAGATTCACAAAGACATAATGTGTGATATATTCTCTGTGGTGTGATTTTCTTTTTGCTCAAATATACTTTTTTTATTACTTTCAGTTTATTTAAGATAACAGAAAGCTAAGTAACAGGGATAGTTGCTACTGCAAGGGACCCACACACAGTCCACAGCAGTGGAGAGGAAGGGGACATGGGCAATTACAAAAATAATGTCAATAACCTCAGTGAATGAAGGACTGTTAATGGGTGTGTAGTGTGTACAAGAACTTTGAGGAAGAGCCCGACTCTGGGAGTGAAGGGTCCTGTTGTCATGGCATCTACTGCGACATCACCATGGTCGGAAATTTTAGCCTGATAATAAAAAGTAAATGTGAGACCATCTGTGGAAGGAAGTTTCTACATAGGTCTTCAAGCTATCTGTTTTCTAAATCTGCATTTCTTAATGTGTGTTTCTTTAGCATATTTCTTCTTTGGGGCAGAGATGCCTCCATCCTGTACTAGAAATGTATTTGCTAGCTGAAAGCAATGGAAAGGAAAAACATTTTATAAGAAAATCCATTGAGTTATTTACCCACAAAGCAGCTTCATTCATTGAACTGATTCACAGACAAGTTCAAATCTTCTCACTACAAAACGCTTCAAAAGGACTATTGGAATCTGAAACTAATATAATGTTTTATGTCAATTATACAATCAACTTAAAAGACAATTGGAGGAATTAAAAGTGAAGTTATAAAAAGAACTTCAGGTTTGGCTACAGCCCAACTTCTAATTCTTTTGATAGGTGAAATCTTCACAAGGTCACTAGTTCTTACTACCTTTTGAGCCAATAGATCATGCATTTGAAGCAACAAAATGTAATGAACAAAATTCTAATATATAAAGGATTTGGACATTCCTTTGGAGTCTTTTCAATGAGATCCGAAGTCTGTGTTTAATGCATTTACAAAATTCTTCTGATAATTACAGCTTGAAAGCAGTTTTTACTAAAAAATTTTTATGGTAATCTTCTAAATAATAACTATATACCATAAACACATAAGAAATGCTTGAGTATAAAGCAAGAAGAATCACACTGTGAACCAATTTGGAACATCTCAGTGAGTGTTAATTTCTGGGTGTCAGCTTGATTGAGTCAATCTTGGTGTTTCTTGGATTTTGTAGAGACCTGGGCTTGGGCAAACCTAAGACAGAACCTGCCACACAGCCACCTACACTTCGTGATGTCTACGGGTCAGTGAGGAGCCTCATTCCTCAAATAGCTCTTACACAAATGCCTAAATTTCCCCTTTTAATTGAGTTAAGCATTTCTTTCCCAGAAACTTATGATGAGCACATCTTTCAGGGAACTGACTATAGAGCCAAACAACATTACATAGTCTTTGTAGGAATGTGTTCACTTGTGTCCATGAAGAACTAAAGGTTGAAAATACAGTAGAGTGAAGTTGTTAGTTTCCCCATAATCAACCGTCTCTACCTTCTATCATTCAGCTTTATAAATCTTTATTATTAGGCTTCAAATCTGTGCAAAGCATTGTGCAAGGCATTGCACTATGCAGGTCAAAAGGAACAAAAATGGAGAAGCCTCAGCTGGGCTTCAGAAAACCATTAATCTAGTCAGGAGGATGAGACAAATAGTACTTTGCAAACTACATACCAGAGAGTGAAGCACCCTACCTTCTTCCAGGAAGAAAGATTAAGACTCTTCCCTAAATGAGCCAAGATCTAAGTAGGCCTTGAAGGATGCGTAAGTTATTTTTTAAAGTGTGTATAATTTTTTCCTATTATAAAGCATATGTAGTAAAAATTAAAATGTATACACATACAGAAGAGAAAGTGAAAGTCTTTCACAGAAGAGGAATTATGTATTTCAAATAAACAGTCTCACTACCAATCAGAGAAATGCAAGTGAAAACAACAATGTGCTGTTTTCTTTATCCACCCAATTGGCTAAAAGAGTTAGACACTATTAAGTACTGAAGAATCTGGGGACGATGGATATTATCATCTACTGTTGGAAGGGGTATAAGGTGACTTTAGCACATATAGTGTAACTGAACATGCACAGGTGACCAGTGATTCCACTTCTTGCATCTGTCTAGTGGAACAATCACACTTACTTGTAAGCAGAAGGAAAGATGAACAAAGGTGTTTGTGGCAGACATGTTTGGGAGAGGAAAAATTTAAAGCCATTGTAAATATCCAGTAACAGTGAGATGATAAATAAAGTTGAGTGCTCATAGGATGGGATTCTGTGAAAAGTTAACCAAATGTGTTTGAAAAGGTGTGAAAGCTTTTTGGGTTGTCAAATAATGAGGGCAGGGGATTGGGCACTACTAGCACTTGGTGAGGGAGTGCCAGTAATGCTTAACACCCTACAAAGAATGAGGCAGTTCTGAACAACCAAGAATTGTCCTGCCCAGAATGTCAACTGCAACCCCACTGAGAAACGCTGAGGGTGTTTGCTTGCGTGCGCACACACACACACACACAGGTCAAAAGTTGATAGATCCCGGGGCGGCCGAGTGGCTCAGTTGGTTAAGAGCTCGCTCAAGAGTTTGAGCTCTGAGCAACAGCGGTTCGAGTCCAGCCCGAGCTGAGCAGCCGCTGAGCTGCC